GAGACCCCTGCGCACGCCCCCTCGCTGCTGTGCCGGCCCCGCTTCCTTCGCTAGACCCAGACAGTCGCCGCTTTCTCCGTTACTGGACTTGCACCGGCCGCTGCGGTAGCCCCCACCCAGGTCCTTGCATCTCTCTCTCTCGCCGCTGCTGGTCCTACCATGAAAAGTAGCATCGTGGTTAAGTTACTGGGCAGACTGAGCTCTGGGTTCGGTTCCCTTCTATGCCCCAGACGCTCTGCCAGACTTGATCAGGCCTGGGTTTTGATCCGGGTGTGCCTCAGGTCACGGCCCCCCATAGGTTTTGAGAACTGATTAGTGTTTGTGATGTGCTCCAATGGCGATTCCTTCTAGGTTTATCACCATGATAATACCTTTCACCAATACCAAGTAACTTCTGCTGCTGTACCTACATTCTGAGCTAAAAGCTGCTGCTTTGCCTGGCTCCCTTCCTCAGGCTCCATCCCACACCAAGATACTAGACTAGAGCCCTCTTGTTTCTCCTTCCCTACTTTTGAATTCTACCACTCCAGTAAATTCCTCCATCTCCATTAAACTTGCTCACGTGGCTTTATTCCTGCACTCTTCTGGCCACTTAAGTTACGCCTCCAGCATTTGACAGTGGTGAATTTCTTCACTGAATTAGACTCTCATAGACAGTTAGTCTTCTCTTTTTCCCCAGGCATTGGTGGGAGTGTTGGTGTTCATATTCTGAATTCAGAATATATATTGTCATTAATTGCCAGCATATAAGGTGACAATTCGTTGGCATTCAGTTTGCTCTGTAGAGATTTAGCTTAGCTCTTTTTCTGACAATTTTGTGTTACATTTGTAAATTATTTTTATGGTCAACTGAAAACTTAATGATGATCTGTTTCCCCACATTAGGTGTCTATGAAGGAAGCTTAGGGTTTCCAGAAATGATTTATCTGGGAATCCCCTCAGGCCAGATATCAACGCAATAGGTATCTTAAATTTAAAAACAAATTGATTTTTTTAAAAACACCTGAATTTGTTGGTGCTTCTAAGAGCTCTCTGCAGCTTGTGAAGGCCTGAAAACTATATAAATAGCAACAGAATCATGAGACTCTGTAAAATTTTGCTCTAGTTTGCTTCAGTTTACTTTCTTTCTCTGACTAGCTTCAAATGTGGCTCTTATGGAGGTGTTGGTGGTTTTAACAAGAATAATAAAAATGTAGATGTATGAATGCAGTTCAATGAGATTATTTAAAATATGAGGTCCAAATCAACAGATTATATAGTTGAGGTACTGTGGAGAAGAGAAAATAAATTTGTGATAACTATTAATTTTTGTAAAATTAATGCAAAGACAGGACATAACAGATTTCCACCTATGGATTCATTGGGTAATGTTTTTTTTCAATATTAATAATACTAATGCAAATTTGGGCTTTGCTTTCTCATTCTCAAAAACATATAGCATGCCAAAAAGAAAAAAAACAAAACAGATCTGTGCCTACAGTTTTATGTCAGCTGAGCATTCTTCTTGCATTAGTTTTTCTTGGCAGATTAAAGCTGTGTATTATGCCTCATGTGTGTAATAATGCTTTTAATATAATTTAAAACTGAACAGAAATATGACAAAGTTTGAACCAAACATTTATAATATTTTAATCTTTAATAGCATTAATAAATCAGAAAATATAAATAATTTGTTTGAAACACTGATTTAAAAACAATTTGTCAACAAGAATATTTTGTTATAGACAGTAGGCTAGTCTAGATAACATTTCAGTATGATTACAATATGATAAAAACAACACTTTAAAATATAAAAATAATTAAGTACATTTTATAACTGACATAGTTAATCTTCAGAGGGGTAATCGAGTTAGTCTGTACAGGATAAACTTAAAAAACAACAAATAGTCTGGTAGCATTTTAAAGACTAACAAAACATGAAATCATGAGCTTTCGTGGGCACAGCCCACTTCTTCAGATGACTGGAGTGTTGGATGTCCAGAGCCAAAAATAAGTGATCTGCTTTTATTGGAATACATCAATAATTGTGTGAAGAAGTTAGTACACTAAAAATATTTTGAAATACAGAAGTTGAAAGCTTTTTCTATCCCTTGTAATCCTCAATTCTCAAAATACAATTTTTGGTAATAAAAAGATACATAAATCAAATATCAGTTGCCTTATCATGAGAGAGATCACAAAAAACTTTGGGGGGAAGGAGAGAGTGGAAGAGTTGTAGTTTCACACCCAATGCTCTTGGAAAAGGACTTTTAACTTATTTGATCGCAGCTACACTGACAAACCACATCGCCAAAAATCAGCATGGCTGTGTCTAGACTGGAAAGTTTTTCCACAAAACCATCTGCTTTTGCAGAAAAACTTGCCAGCTGTCTATACTGGCTGCATGAATTTCTGGAAAAGCACTGACGATCTCATGTAAAATCATCAGTGCTTTTCCGGAAAAACTATGCTGCTCCCGTTCGGGCAAAAGTCTTTTTCCGAAAGACTTTTGCGCAAAAGGGCCAGTGTAGACAGCATAGTACTGTTTTCCGCAAGAAAGCCCTGATCGTGAAAAAGGCGATCGGGGCTTTTTTGCGGAAAACCGCGTCTAGATTGGCCATGGACGCTTTTCCGCAAAAACACTTTTTGCGGAAAAGCATCCTGCCAATCTAGACGTGCTTTTCCAAAAATGCTTTTAACGTAAAACTTTTCCGTTAAAAGCATTTTCGGAAAATCATGCCAGTGTAGACATAGCCCATAGGTACAGCTCTATAGCAGAAGCTGAGTTAGAGAAAGCCATCTGCTAGCATCCAGTATTTGGTCTGCCGTCTGTTGAAGTAAGGCTCTGAAGTGTACGAGCATAGCTGCAGCCCTCATATCTTCACAATCTGCATTCATTTTTTAAAAAAGTGTGCTATTAATATTTCACAGAAAGGAGTTCAGGGGTTGCATTCTAAAGTAAACTAAACTAAATTAGTCCTCTTTTCCTTACTTATTCAAGTTTATATGGTACTAATGCTTCACAACTTAACTTGTCTTTCTAAAAACTGACTCCTATCCTATATCCTGTTAATATTTGTTTAATTTCAAAGGCACTGTTTAGGTTGATGTGCATAGAAAGGACATTTTGGACTGTACAAATGAGGCAGATCTTGGGGCAAAATATCTTGAATTAGTTGTTTTGATTTGTAAAAAGAGAATACAAGTATAAATATGTATCATGAAGGTGCAAATTTCACAGCATTCCAGGATAGGAATATGAGGAAGTTTGCTTCAGATATTGAAACTGGAACACAGAAGGAAGAAATATTAACAAGGGAGGATAAATTGAATGCGTTTGTGAATTTAACGTAGACTGCACAATTAAGTGCAATGTTAGGAAGAGGAATTATATACATTTTTATTTAAACATTTCTCAATACTAATTGTATAAATATAGTATAATTAGAGATCGGTATGGGAAAATACATATCTGTTAGTGCTGTGTGTACAAAGAATTATTCAAATACAAACTACTGCATGCATATTCTTTTTCTAGTGCTCAACTTTAATTAAAATATATACTCGTACTGGTATTTGACTTTTTTCCACACTTCTGAAATTAAAGCGCAGTTGCAGTAGCACTTTAAAGTGAAAGTATAGTTCCAGCACAAGCACTGGAAGAGAGCTCTGCCAGTGTGCTGTGTAAACAACCTTCACAAGGGAAGTAGTTAACAGCACTGGGTGCCCGTTTACATTGGTGTTTTATAGCAGCTTAAATTGCTGCACTTGGGAGGGATGTTTTTTCACATCCCTGAGCTAGAAAGTTGCAGGACAGTAAAGTGGCAGTGTAGACTTAGCCTTAGTGTAAGGTATGATCTTTCCTGAAAATTATGTTTTAAAAACAAAAAAATCTAAGCAGCGAATTTACAAAAGATAAGCTAGCTAATTGTGACGCCAACACTTTAATACTGGAAATGTGGTTTGTGCCCATTGAAAGCCATCTCCTTGTTTTTAATCTTTTTAAAATCATGCTGTCACTGATACTAATTGTTTCACAGAGTAGGGATTTCTGTGATCACAGTGAAGGGATGTCAAGTTTTTTTGGGGTTTTTTGGTAGTGCTTCATTTGATGTATTGCATAAATTATTTGATCCAAATTTGACTTCAGGTATAGTGCCACATGTTTTATGCGTTTGGAAAAGACTTATTAATGTTTATATTTGGTATTTGAGAGATGTAGAAAATTACTTTGAACCGAGGAGTAATATTACTCATTCTTGTTTTTAATAATAACTTTTAACCTTATACACATGTTACATTTGCCCAGATTTCTCTCTATAATTAATCTAAATGAAATTATTTTCTTCTGGCTTTCACTTGAATAGATTTTCCAAATCTTCATAACTGATAATAATGGAGAGCTTGAATCTCTCCTCAGTTTTGAACCAAGTATTAATGTCTTTTATTTCATATGGAGAAAGTATGATAGATTAAAGGTGATTTACTTCTTGGCTTAAAGAATTAGGTTTCCAAGTTAAAGTTATTTCACTCCAGAGATGGCCTATTGTGGGTGAAGTGATTCACATATATGAGAGGGATAATCTCTGGGATCTATCAAGATGAAAGCCACTATGTATATTGTACATGATAGATGTTATTAAATTATATCCAGAAAAACACTTCCTTTAAAAGGGAACAATGTAGACTGCAAAATTTGGCACAAAAAAGTTAGGAAATGCCAAATATATTATTTTCTGACAGTACATGGACAACAAAATAGAATTCTGGTAGTATGGTTGATGCTAAAGCTGGTATTTGCTATCTTTCAGGTTCTTCTCTTTGCAGCCTAAGGGTAGGTCTAGACTACATGCTTCTTCTGACAAAGTCATGTAAAATAGGCTACCTGACATAGTTAATGAAGCGGGGATTTAAATATCTCTGGCTTATTAAAATAAAAATGGCCACCGTGCTGTGCCCACTCAGCTGATCATCAGCACAGCGTGCGAGTCAAGACGCAGATTGGTCGACAGGGGAAGCCGTTGTCGACCACTCCCGTATGCCTCATGAAACAAGGTTTACAGGAGCGGTCGACAAAGGCTTCGCTTCCCCTCTTGACCGATCCGCGTCTTGACTCGCGTGCTGTGCCGACCATCAGCTGAGCCGGCACAGCACGGCGGCCATTTTTATTTTAATGAAGCCGGGAATATTTAAATCCCTGCTTCATTGACTATATTGGGTAGCCTATTTTACATGCCTCTGTCGGCAGAGGCATATAGTCTAGACATACCTGAAGTATCTTCATAATGTAGTTTTTGTATGTAATTTCCTATCATTTTTAAAAAGAAAAAGTAAAACATTTTATATACAGTTGCATTATTGCCAAGGTTTTAACTATTAACTTTCAGCCACCCAAGCAGCAGAACTATCTTTGTCCTTAGCTTGTAGCTGGATAATACAGTAGAGCCTCAGAGTTTGGTGTACCTTGGGAATGGAGATTGTTCATAAGTTTGAAATGTTTGTAACTCTGAACAAAATAGCATTGTTAACTACTCTGTGCCCTGTGTACTCCATGTGTCCCTAATTCAGGAACTCCCGTGGTATGGACCCTAGCAGGTGGAAGCAGCTCTAATTGCTGCCACTCTCACTTCTTCCAGCAGGGAAAATGGCAGCGCAGCGATGTGCTCTGGTTGGAGGCTTTTCCCTGGGTTCCCAGATTAAAGAGGTTCAAGTGTATCCTAATTTAAATAAAATGAGCACAGAAACAGTTTCTTTACCTAACCAAATCTTTTTTTTTTTTTTTTTGTAAATGTTCCCTTTGTTTTTCAGTAGTTCCCTACTTTCCTCTTTTCTTCCAGAAACCTCCATGTTACAGTAAGGAAAACTCTGGGACCATAGTATCAACCAGTTCTGAAGCTATAATGAGCTAGCCATACTCAACCTGCCAAATAGCCACATGTGGCCAGTGGCTAACATGTTGGACACTATGGCTCTGGGTTATAATTAAATTAGTTGTCTGTATGTGTCCCAGAAAAACTGTAATGGCTTAAAATAGATGCACCTGAAAGCAATAATAATAGCAAGTACTGTGGTACATCATGACAGTGCATAATATGAAACTATTAAAGTCCATCATATATAACATTCTACTTTATATACCTTGCTTTCAAAGTTATATGGTGATATTATGAGAATGCGTAACATGGAGTTGTTAATATGGATTTTTAGAATGATACAGCATAAGCATGTTGGGTCAGTAATACATATTGATGACTCAGTCACTACAATTAGTCATAGCAAAGGACATACAAAGGACTTACCAGTATTCAGATCACCTTTTTAAAAACAGAACAGTTTTACCTCTTGATGCAGAGTTTTCAGATGGAAATACTTAAAGAAATCAACCGAACAAAAAAATCTGCAACTTCCGTTCATCTTTAGCCTTCAATACTTTGTCTTAATATTCTATATCACCCTCCCTCTCCCCCCCAAAAAAATATTGCTACATAATTAGAATAGTTAACAGGAACAGAAGTATCTTATTTTATAGAAAAAGGCCATAGGAACAACTGCACTGAAAAGATAAACACAGACAGGCATTCCCCCCGGGTATGAAACAATGCTATGAAAAGCTTCCTAGCCTGTCTTATTCACCCAGAGCTTTCTTTTTCTGTTTCCTGGCATGGTGATGCCACAGATAGGGAATGATTGAGGCATGTGCCCTTTCCCCAACTTATTGTCCTACTCTTAATAGAATGCATCCTGAACATGTTCTCAACTCAGGTTCGCTCAAATTTTTGTATTTGGCTGCACCAGCGTTCCTTGATGGCTCCTCTCCCCTCTTCTTAGTGCTCCTTGTTACTCACGAAGCATTTCAAGAATGGGGTTGTTGTTTAGAGGGTCTGTTGGTAATGGTCTGGCTAGATTGCAGCCATGGTAGAGGTAGATAAAGCAACGTCTATACATGCAATCTCAGCCATATGTCATGGTGCACAGGTACAGAGAAATGAGGTCTGGCAGGTAGTTGCTTGCAGGAAGACTGGAGTGGCTTTATTATACTTTTCTGGCAAAAATGATTTGCCCCAGAAAAATATGTAGGTATAATTTTCCAGAGCACACTTTGTAGAAGACTCTCTTAGGTTTATTTTTTTGAATTAAAAAGAAAGTTCAAACTGACATATTTCAGCACTTAATTGCATTGATAAAAGTTTCACTCCCTCCCTCTCTTCCTGGAATTACATGGTGCTGATATTCCAGGAGCCAAGAGCTGCAAACCTTAATTCCACAATAGAGATGGACAGAAAAAGACCTCAAATATATATTGTAGCTCTGCAGGAAGGCTCTGACCCTACTTCTACTGATCCCAGTTGGAAAATGTCCTTCAATATTAGCAGAGCAGGTTCAGTTCCATCATTGTAACGTACAACTTGAAAATTAATCCCTAATGAAGTCAGACCAATTTAACAACATTTGTTTCAAAACAACCAACCAAAAAAATCTTACACAATGAACAAAGATTTTATTTATTTTGTCAACTTTCTGCTGAAATAAATGTTAACAGCAGAGTTCAGTAAATCTTGTGCAAAGGGATGTTGACTCAACTTCAAGTATAATTTCAGGATAGGGAACTACTAAAACAAAGATCTAATGTATGTGGCAATAATGTACTTAAGCTACAGTGACTGTTACACTTTCTCTAGAAAGTATTTTCATGTCTCTCAAGAAACTTAGTTTTTCTTGGATGTTGTAGCTCCCTCACAACATTGCTTGAAAATCATATTAAAACACTTTTACTTTTTACGTTCTAATGGGTCTTCATATAGGTCAAACTTTCTGTAAAGCTCATCTTTAAATTTTCAAATTAATTAGTAAGATAGGTTTCTTGGTGTATTCACAGAAGCACTGATTTCACATAGTTAAGTGTGATCAGACGTGTGCTTTCTCATTGTATCTTTATCTTACTGCCTTTGTCAGGTACTCATTAATGAGTGAAGGATCAAAAGGTGAGACGTGGCCAAGAAGCAATGGAGAATAAAAGCTTAGACGGCTCGCCATCAGATCTAAAGTTAGTGGCTCATCCAAGAGCAAAGAGTAAAGTATGGAAGTACTTTGGATTTGATACCAATGCAGAAGGATGCATATTACAGTGGAAGAAAATCTATTGCCGCATTTGCATGGCCCAAATTGCCTATTCAGGAAACACATCCAACCTTTCATACCACCTTGAGAAAAATCACCCTGATGAGTTCTGCGAATTTGTGAAAAGTAACACTGAGCAAATGAGGGAAGCGTTTGCTACTGCATTTTCAAAACTGAAGCCAGAATCATCACAGCAGGTTGTTCAAGACACTTTAATTATGAAGACCAGCCACAATTATGAAAACAAAAAGCATCAAGAACTGACTTCTGCTGTGATTAGCCTAATTTGTGAGGGCATGTATCCTTCCTCTATTGTTGATGAACCCACATTCAAGGCACTTTTGAGAACAGCTGATCCTAGATATGAACTTCCTAGCAGGAAATATTTCTGCACAAAAGCAATTCCTGAAAAATACAATGCTATTAGAGAAATTGTGTTAAAAGAACTTACAGAAATTCTATGGTGTGGCATTTCCACTGACATGTGGAGAAGTGAAAATCAGAATAGATCATATGTAACACTTGCAGTTCATTTTCTCAACAGTAGCCCTTCTAACTGTCTGGCTGTTAACTCCCGGTGTTTAAAAACGTTCGAAGTGCCAGAGGAAAATACTGCAGAAACAATTACACGTGTCCTTTATGAAATTTTTATTGAATGGGGGATCAATACAAAAGTCTTCGGTGCTACAACAGATTATGGCAAAGACATTGTGAAAGCTTGCTCTCTCCTAGATATTCCAGTACAAATGCCTTGTTTGGGACAGACTTTTAATGCAGGAATACAACAAGCTTTTCAGCTTCCAAAACTGTGCAGTCTCCTTTCCAGGTGCCGAAAACTGGTGGAGTATTTTCAGCAGTCCTCAGTAGCAATGTACATGTTAAGTGAAAAGCAGAAGCAGCAAAATATTCTTCACTGCATGCTTGTAAGTGATCGTGTTTCCTGGTGGGGAAGCACACTTGCCATGTTGCAGCGTCTTAAAGAGCAGCAGTTTGTAATTGCAGCTGTTCTTGTGGAGGACAGTAATAACCACCATCTCATGTTGGAAGCCAGCGAATGGAATACAATTGAAGGCTTGGTGGACCTACTTCAGCCCTTTAAACAAGTTGCTGAGATGATGTCTGCTTCAAAATATCCAACAATAAGTATGGTGAAACCCCTCCTCCACATGCTTCTAAATACCACGTTGAACATCAAAGAGAACGATTTGAAAGAAATTAGCATGGCCAAGGAAGTGATAGCCAAAGAATTGTCAACAACATACCAGCATACACCTGAGATAGACATGTTTCTCAATGTTGCAACTTTTCTGGACCCCAGGTACAAAAAACTACCTTTCCTTTCAGCATTTGAACGTCAACAGGTAGAAAACAGAGTGGTGGAGGAAGCAAAAGGCCTTTTGGAAAAAGTAAAAGAAAACACATTCAGACCTGAAGAAAAGTTCTTCACGGTATCAGAAGAGCCACCTGTAAAAAAAATAATAATCTCTTCTACCCCTCCCCCTACCAGCGCAATCAATAACATGCTTGCAGAAATCTTTTGCCAGACAGGAGGAGTGGAAGACCAAGAGGAGTGGCATGCTCAGATTGTAGAAGAGTTGAGCAACTTTAAGTCGCAAAAGGTTCTTGGTTTAAATGAAGACCCACTTAAGTGGTGGTCTGACAGACTAGCATTATTTCCTGTTTTACCAAAGGTACTTCAGAAATATTGGTGTATTCTGGCCACAAGAGTCTTCCCAGAACGCCTTTTTGGTTCTTCTGCTAATGTTGTAAGTGCTAAGAGAAACCGGTTAGCCCCAGCTCATGTTGATGAGCAGATCTTTTTGTATGAAAACACTCGCAATGTATCTGAAGCAGAACCTGAAGATGAGGATGAAGGCGAGTGGGGCTTGGAACAGGAACAGATTTTTAATTTAAATGACACAGGAAATGTAAGCAGCAATTTCTTTAATATCCGAGACAGTGGGTTCATTTAACAGGAGTACTATGGTATATTAAATAACAAAGAAAAGATATTTGTCTTGTTACCAAAAATAATTCTGTTTTGATTATATGAATACTGTAAATATTGAACAAATGTAACAAACTTGGTTTAAGCATCCATTGTAAATGTGTTGCCCACTATTTTAAAACATGATAGACTTGTGGTTATACAGCACTGATATGAACAAGGAAAAAATCTTTAAAGACCATGACTCCTGACTCAGGCCCCAATTCCAGGAAAGCACTTATGCATATGTATAATTCCTTCCTGTTTACTTCAAATGGGAGTTGAATGTGCTTAAGTGTTTTCTGTAATGTTTTTTTCCCTCTCAATCTGGACCCTAAATAAAGACGTTTTAAAGATGTACAGGTCCACTTTTGAAGGCAACATATGGGTTAGGATTTCAGAGTTTTAAATTTCTAAAATGATTTTAAAATCCATAAGTCAGATCGTCAGAGACTCTCACAAAAATATTGGGAAAAGAGCAAACAATAAATATCTTTGCGCTTGATTTTTTTTCACTACCTCATAACTTTTGGTCTAGTCTACTCTGAGTTCTACTATTATAATTACATCAATTAGGTTGTGTGATTTGTAATTATACTGATATACCTTATTTTGCCAGTATGCCTGCATCCTCACTGAGGGATATTTTGTCACTTAATCACACTATTACAGTGGTAAAACTTTTTAATGTAGGTGAGCTCTGATGTCACCCCTTACATTTGTATTAGGTAGGTGGAAATCACAACCACATCAGAACTGTGGCATTTTACATTCACTTTGTGTGACCACGCAAAGCGGAAAATTGGGTCCCTGAAGGATGGAAGAAGTAGAGAGATTAGAAAACTGCAAGGACCATAGGTGCAATGTGTTTTTATTAGTTTTCATTCAACTTTGTTCTAATTTGAATTGGGACTTTGTCCAGGGAGTTAGAAAGATCATTTGTAGAAAGCCTTTCAAAAAAGTAAGCTTTAATTTTGTGTAAATGTATTTAATCAGGGAAAAAAATCCTCACACAAGTTGTTAGACTTTGATAATGTTTCCTGTCATGTCAGCACTTATAAATTTCCTTTTATCCTGTGTCCCTTTAGAGTCAGTTTGTAGAGGGCTTTGGTCTGGCCCACCTCATTACTTGTTCTGATTAATCGTTATGTGTACTGTAGTAGCTCCCCTTATGTCTCTATGCCTAAACATTTTAAGTTTTTTTGAGTAATTTAGCAACATAAAATAATGAAATATATTGCATCTCTTAGGAAGAGCTACATGTCTTAAATAAGTCTCTACTCTTCTTTTTTGGCTGAGAGTGAGGAGGCATTCAGCATATTTTTGTTATGCACAAGGGGACTTTTGGAACAACCATATTTTAGGCAAAGGTTGTTTTTGTTGTTTTTTCATTTGTTTATTTCCCAATTGGTAATGTCCTGGGACTATCACTTTTACCAAATAAATAGAATACAATTTTTATTACTCTGCAGTGTAGCTTAAAGGTATAAGTGGTATGCCCCCTAAAATTCTGTGTATCATGAGCTCTTGGAAATCATTCAGTTGTTGCAGAGATCAGAGACATTCACTCTGTTGTACTAGTCTCACTGACTAGCCTATAAAATGCATGTGTACATATAGCCCTCAGAGACTGAGGTGATGGACAGCAGTATAAAAACTTAACACAGTGTATATGTGTGCGTGATTGTCTTATGCAACACTGGTATGGAGAGAGATCAACCAGAGACTGACTGTCCAGTGTATTATTATGGTATGGCTATATTTGGAATTGATAATCATAGATGTTCCGGTTTTAAGGGGCTCGTCAAAAATAACACAAAAATGAGATTTTCAGTGATATTTATTCTGTTTCACTTGTACTACTACCAAGCTGTGTGTGTTTATATTTTGTTTGTACAGTTCTCACCAATTAATGCACAGTATGATCATTTGGCAGTAGATGGGGAAGGATATTAGAATTATGAAACAAATAAAATGGTGTAAATTATTGGCAGGTTTTAGTTAATGAAAAATAAATGTAAATGGTGATGTGACTTGTAAAGATTTAGCATTCAATGGCACAATTCTTCACTGTCCTGCATTTTATATAATTATTTATACTTTGGTAAAGTGTGTGTAAAATGCACCATTCTTATATGGTGTCACTGTATATCTACTTTGCACGGGTGTATATGACTATGCAAGGTGCAAGGCTATAGGAGATTGGACCCAGAGAATGTGCAAAATGTGTAGCTTGGAAGTGTAGCAGGCTAGCCCCATTGGTTAACTGGTTAACCTGTCAAATCCCTACTAACTGGAGGGAGGATGCTAAAGTAAGCCTCTTAGTTGATTTTCTTTTTAAACCTTTTTCAGTGTGTAAGTTGTTTTGCACACTGAATGCCAAGATTATGTAGCTTACCCTACCACATCAATTTTCAGAGTAATTTTAACCAGTTTGTTACCTGCCGAATTTGTCCCCGAAAGGAACTGACATTGTTAACCCAGTTATTAATTTGTGTCAAGGTTGAGTCCCAGCACTGCTAGGGTTGACAGTTCATATCCCCAGCACCTCAGGGCTTACCACAAAAAGTATGAATGTAAAAAAAAAATGGTTTGAGCCCCAGCTCCCCCTATTTATTTGATATCTGGCACCTCTTTCATTACAAATTAAGCACTGTGTTAATGCCAGAGGCTTGAATATCTTCTTACGCTACTGTATTAGGAGTATCTTTGCTGAAAACAGTGGAGTTACACCAGTGTAAAAGAAAAAATCAGCCTCCCCAAGTCTGAGCCAATCTGTTTTGGTAATCTCCATTCCTATGTGGGCCATCTGAAGGCTAAAATTATCATGCAGTGCATCTTGTTTCCTCCCCAAATCGGTTTGACCAATACCAGTGCAGTGCACTATTCTGCTCCTTCTAGTTTTTTAATTTTTGGTATCCAAAATAAAATTATAATTGGTTCAATTGACATGTCTCGTTCTAAGACAAAACCATTGTTAGTTCTACCCATTGTCTGTGAGTTTTTATTTAATGTGCTAAGCTTGGAATATTGTTAAATAACCAGAGAAATAAATTAGCTACTAATTTATTTGTCTGATGTGTGTTCATCTCTTCAGCACTTTGACATTGAACTCTTCAGCAAAAAGGAGAAATGGTATTTCAGGTTTATCAAAGTATCCATGACCCTTTTATTCTGATCCTTTAACTTACTTATGTATACCATACAAATATATCTGGATTAAAATATGTTGAAATCAATAATGCCTCTCTCTGAGAATCTCTAGACAGTGTCTTTTGAAAAGAATTACATTCAGTTTTCAAGCAACAGTACAATGACCTGTGCCACAGTACAGAAACTGCTATGTGGATGAGCCAAGTTGCAACACTGTCCTGCATGCTGCTACAGCATGAGTAAACATGGTTCATTATTGCAATGGTGGGATGAGAACATGTTACTTAATTGTGCTGTAGCCCATGACTTTGAATGTATGTCTTTTAAAATCTTTGTGAACCTGCAGTCTTGGGTTTTATATAATTTTTGACGCACAAAGAAACGTTGAGGTGGCGAGCAGGGATGCAACTTTGGATTTTGCTTCTTGTTTGGAAAATGTGAATATTTTAAATGTCCTTAACATTGTATTTATTATAATAGAAGACAAATCATTTTGATATTATACATCTAAATATCCCAACATTAAGACTTTGTGGTAGTATTAAGAAGGAAACAGATAATTTAAATGCTTTTGGGAACAACCTATATTTGAACATGTACTAAGACTTAGAAGGATAAAAGGGAACTATGTAGAACATGCAAGTTGAAAAGGTTTACATTTTTAGCACAATAGGTTATTTTTAAAAGTCCCACTCATAGATTAGAAAAAATACTATACATAAGATAGATTCATAGACTTTAAGGTCAGAAGGGACCATTATGATCATCTAGTCTGACCCACTGCAATGGAATTCGTCATTTTGAAAGTGTGGTACGCTTCTGTAATTGGTTTTATCATTTTGTATAATAGCTTTAGAGGGCTCAACTAAAATTGGGGCTCCTCCAATAACAAAGTAAGAGATATTCCCTGCCCCAGAAAACTTACTATTTAAATATTCTTTCAAGCCAGTGGATCTAAGGGCATCCACTGTAATTTTTCTATTTAGCTTTATTATGTTGTACATTAAAAACAAAAGTTCACATTAATAAAAGGAGTCTAAATTTAGTAGTTGTTACACAATATTTAACTTATCTTTAGGATATACTAGGGGGCCATGTCCTTTGCTCACTATGCTTGCCTATCCCCCTCTCCCCCCCCCCCCGCACTTTTGCTTTGCTGAGAGAAGCTGTTGATGCTGATAACATCATCTCTCTCGAGGGAGGGAGGGAGGAAGAGAGAGAGAGAGAACACATAAATAGAAAAAGTATAGTTTTGTGGTTAGGGATTCAGTTTCTTGCTCTGCAACAGACTTGATGTATGACTTCAGGCAAGTCACTTAGACCTGTATCCACAAAGATATTTAGGCTCCTAACTTCCATTGATATCCGTGATAGTTAGCAGTCTAAATACCTTTAAGTATCTGGGTCTTAAGTCTCTGCGCCTCAGTTCCAGTCTATAACATGAAGAGAATAGTATTTCCCTATTCCTCAGAGGTAGTGAGAGGCTAAACACGTTAAAGATTGCAGCAGGATGTTCAGATACTGCAGTAATGCATAAAGTACCATAGAACAAAGTACTCCATTCATAGGCCATATGATACCATATCACTTTCACTGATAATTCTATTGGACATGAATATTACTGCCTTGTACCTTGTTTCTTTGGCAAAGGTAAACTTAAAAAATATTTCTCATCAGTTCAGATGATGAGCACTTTAATGTAGACAAGGCTACTGTGATGCACACTGTTTTTACCATTGTATTAGTTAAACCTGCTGAAAGTTCAGTTTTATCCAGTGATAAATATAGTTCTGCTGTGGAACCTCGTTTATATTATGGCTTTCACTGGTGCTTTCATTTATTCAGCTGAAGAGGCGATAGTATGAGGTTTTCTTATACGTTTCTCCATTGAAAATGAAGTCTGATGGAAGTAGTTAGTTGTACGTGGATAAAAGTGATTGTAAAATGTTACCAAATTTGAATAATACATTTAAACACATGGTACGTTTTTAATATTACATTTTTAATATTACAGTGCAAAGCAATGGAGACATTTTTAATATTAAAGTGCAAAGCAATGGAGAATAAGCTCTATTGATTTCAGCCCAGTTATTTCTAACTTACAGTGATGTCACTGAGATCAGAATCAGGCCCCATATCTTACCCCCCCACATAAAATCATTACCTCTGTGTTTAATATCTTAAGTTATAAAAACTGAAGCAAATAGTATTCTGATTTACTTTATTCTCTTGGTTTATCCCCCTCCACCGCCCCTTAGGGCATGACTACAACTGTACCTGTGTAGCTGCCCAGATGCAGTGTGTCCAGAGACAGCATCCTATGACAGTGGGACAGAGCTTTCCTATCGGCATAATTAAAAAGCTCCACGAACTCTAGAACCTATGTCGGTGAGAGAAGGTTTCCTGCTAACATTAGGCTATGACTAGACTACACAGTTTTTTCGGAAAAAAAGAGCCTTTTTTCGAAAAAACGTCACCAGCGTCTAGACTGCTGTTGCGTTCTTTCGAAATTAAATCGAAAGAATGAGGCAGTTTTTTCAACAGCGGTAAACCTCATTTTATGAGGAAGAAAGCCTTTTTTCAAAAGAGCTCTTTCAAGAAAAGGCGTTCTTGAACGCAAACAGGGCTTTTTCGGAAGAGAACATCCAGATTGCCTGGGTGCTCTTTCAAAAAAGCAATCCGCTTTTTTGAAAGTTTTGTGGATGTCTAGACAATCTCTTTCAAAAGAGGCTTTTTCGAAAGAGCTCTTTTGAAAAAGGCTTGTAATCTAGATGTGCCATAGTACATGCTGGAGAAACATGTGTTGTTTGGGGGTGGTTTATTCACACTCTTGTGAGACATATGTTATGCTGATGTAGGCTGTAGTGCAGACATAGCCTTTGACTTGTTATGTCTCCTTCAACTGTCTTGTGTTCATTTTTCAAAAGAGGCTTTTTCGAAAGAGCTCTTTTGAAAAAGGCTTGTAATCTAGATGTGCCATAGTACATGCTGGAGAAACATGTGTTGTTTGGGGGTGGTTTATTCACACTCTTGTGAGACATATGTTATGCTGATGTAGGCTGTAGTGCAGACATAGCCTTTGACTTGTTATGTCTCCTTCAACTGTCTTGTGTTCATTAATACAATGACTAGAGCCGTGGTCCCCAACACGGTGCCCGCGGGCGCCATGGCGCCCGCGGGGGCATTTGCATGCGCCCGCCAGGTGCTCGGGGCTGGCCTGGCCCTGGGCACATGGCGCGGCGCTTGCAGGGAGCGCCAGCC